GATGGAGCTTGGTTGTTTCAGATGAGTGATAAGCCACCTCCATCAATAAGATACGCAGTTGTACCAAATAGTTGCAGCGAACGTTGAAAGTCTCTGTGCTTTATTTCAGATATTTTTGGCCATGAGTTTCTACTGATGCTTCGTAGTAATTGCGCCTGAAAAATTCTAATTGCTAATGCATTCTGCTACAGCTCGGTGTCGAGAAATCGTCGAAGAACCCTTTGCTAGAAATCGAAGAGAAAAAGGCATGGCATCGTACGAAAGTATTACCAGTTGATCTGATTGGGACAATTTGACATAGACAAAAGCGTTGTCCATATCCATGATAGAAAAAAAAATTGAGAAATAGTGGAAGGATTTAACCAATGTGGCTAGACAAACTATTGCAATGAACGTCACGAAATATTTATGGAAGGATGGCTTTTAAGATGATACAAAAAGCCTTTTGTGTAGCTTCATCTTATTAGACACTAGTGCAATACACATTATTTTTAATGAATTATAATGAATTCATATGGCAATGACTAGAGCGCTTGCTGGGTTAGTATACCTAAAGAATATACCGCTTGCCGTATCCCCATGGGTCGGTTTTCAAAGTGTTTTATCAACAAAAAGGTGCATCAAAGTTATTTTTAACGTAAGGGGGGATCTGAAATGTGTTAAAACATCGGTGTATTGCTGCACGCAGGGGCGCATTCAACATGAATGAGTTATCGAGAAAATCATGCTGCATAAAACTTTCACATCCTTGCAGTCTTATCTTCTGTCATGAACATTGACATACACAGTTCATTTTATATAGTTATGCTCGTTTGAAGTCAGTGTGCACATAGTTTTAGCAGCCTTTTTAAACTACGAGATTTCCCGTGAGCTAGACTTTCTCCAGGGAATCAGTTAGCAACTTTGAGTAAATTTGAATTAAAATTCCTTGGTCGCTTACATTGTCTTGTGTGTTTGAACAACTTTTGTTTGAACGTGGAAGAAAACCCATTGCATTGCTCTCTTCCACAATAGGACTCTTTACTTGAGAAATCGAGATTTCTGTCACAATAAAACCTTCGAAATGCCATTTTATTGTCTTTTTTCAACCCAATTACATGCATCTTTAAATACACAATTAAATCTGGAAAGTCTAGCATGTCAAAATTTCACAATGTGATCTCTAAAAACAATCAGTCTGGCTCATTGGGGCATTTCAAATTTATTTTGACGAAGCGAATGTGCACAGTTTACCGTTCGCTCCCAGCCCACTGCCCGCCAACACCGATGACATCGTGAGGCCGTCAAGAGAATTGACCCAAGTCACCGAGATGGCCAGCGACACCGCGCCGAAAACGATGCACGACAACATCAGCTTAACACAGGTTTTGGTGCACGCGTCAAAGGAAAACCCGGATGTGCCCGAAATAGATTTGTGGATTGTTTCACCCCGTTCAGCGTCGTATCCCCGCGGGTTCGGATATGCATCGTCTCTGGTGAAACTGAACACGAAGCACCGTTCACGACTGGACGTTAAAGATGGGTGGCGCTTGTGTCTACCTGGCATTACAACTTGCTTAAAACAAACTTTGGACTGTAGCTACACTTCAGGGATCACGTTAAATAGGTTGATGATTATTTTTTTTAATGGTTTCGTCTCAGAACATGGAAATTATCTCGTGTTTTTTTTTACACGAACCTGACTAGTTAAAATGTTAGCCTACCCTGAATGATTTTTTTTAAAAATTTAAAAAACACATGTCTTGTAGCAATCTCCCGTCGTTTCCAAATCCGTGCAAATAAATGTCAAGAGTATGAACGGGAAATAATGGGGATCATTCGGCGTTATTAACAATTTGATACAATTATTAAATATTAAACTAGCAGTTATTCATCTTGTGTGTTAACTTGAATGAAACCCGCCGAATCGGGAGGGGGGCGTAACTCTTTGTTGGGGAGAATTGTCTAACTTTAAAAGCCATGTATTCATCGTTCGTTTCGTTTCTGAATAACACATCATTATACCTTACAACAAAGTGGGACGAGATCAATTTAAAAGATTAGCAGTCAGTCCTACTTATTTGTTACGTTAGCATTCGTCGTACTCTGAACTTATCGCTTTTTTGTTTTTACCGCTAGTACTCTGCAATAACGCATCTAATATTTGTTTTTTTTAAATAACGAGACCAAAAAAAAACCCACCTTTCTTTCTATCTGTCCATAGAATTATCGTAACATAAAGCTGTGGTAAAATAATGTTTGACCGTAACTATGAAGTTTAGATGATGTTTTATGTCACTATGCAACTTGGTTGTTTTTTTAACACGTCTGCTGTGTTTTCGACACGATCTTCAACCTTACATTTTGTTTCGGTCGCTCAGCCGTATTACTTAAAGTTCTATTATCAAAACAGTCAATTTTAAGTCTTGTTTTTTCATCCACTTTCATCAAAATCGGAACCGTGAACAACCTATAAATCCATTTCCACACTTTGAAGCATAAAGTTCTCAGCGTGTTTTTGTGAACCCTAGAGGTTTAAAAAAAAATGTGTAGAGTAAAATAGACCATAACACTCTAGTAATTAAGGAAAATAGAACATCGTATAGTAGTCGTATGAAAGATAATACATTTCCAGAAGCTTCTTCTTTAGAAACACAAATGTGTTTCCTTGTGTTAAATTTTGATATTTTTATTCGACGCTTCAATTTCAGCATCCAGCAACGATGTCTTAATGTTCGTTCCCCTTCATCAAGTTTATGGGCAAACGCGATTGTGTACATGGGTTTTAGGAGCACTGTACCCCATTTTAAAACACGTTGAATCGGAAGAGTGTCGCTCGAAAAGCAATCCACTGTCGCGAGACGTCACCAGGATGTATGAAGAATTATAATTGAGCATTCGTAGCATCTGTCATGTCATAAGAGCTCTTGGATTGCACTTATTTGTATAAGTTTTTTTTTTTTTTTTAAAAGAAGATTCATTAGATATGTATACATTAAGTGTGATGGAGCTTGAATAAATTTACGAATCACTACACGGATGGCCCGCCTCTTACACGTTGACAAAAAACACAAGACAACTTAATACAAGACATGACCATTAAAAAAAAAAAAGACCTGAACATGTTAGCCTTATATGGACAATGTGTACGTAAATAGAAATCAATCGTATATTTATATATATATTGTGAAAATGACTATAAAGTCCTTAAATATCACTGGTTGAAGTCCTGCAATCCTGTAACAAAATATATCTCGTTGTCCTTACGTAAAAGGCTGGAGGAACCGAGCATTTGTTGAATTTGATCGGACTAGAATGAATCAATGATTAAATATTAAAATACTTGAACACAGCTATCGTCAATAAAATACTGATCTAAACGAACGACTTGTTGCTGAAGTTCGCATTGCATTTCAGTGACTAAAATGTTTCTTCTTCAGTTCTTTATATTATAACTGTTTTATTAAGTATATTAAAATTTCTTCATCCTTATGAGATAGATTTCAATAAATCTGATGAGTTGATTTTGTTTAGTGAGTAATCTCTCTGCGAGCCTTTAAAAAAAGAAAAAAACAACAAAAAAAACAAGAAAGAAAATACTGTCAGTCATTGTTTCTATAGGTTTGACTGCAAAAGGGGGGATAATTAAATTACAAAAGCGATTATCCGAGAGTTGTCCCCCCCTCCCCTCCCCTCCCCCCCAACATCTAAGTACCTTTGCGCTCTATAACCCTCTGGCAAATGAACTTATGCCGTGGAGGTCACGAAGAACGTGAAGATATCGAGGAACTGAAGTAATTCACCCATGACATTTCAACCAAGACGCGTTGGTTCTCTTATTTAATATTGATTATTTATCTCTGCACTGACAATGCCACGCCATTCCATCCTTCAAACACATAACAGATATTTACTGTTTAAAAAAAAACGAACGCTTTTTTTTATACCTATAACTCAGTGGGTACAAATTGTAGTCGACTTTCACCGTGGCAATGTATTTAATTATCTTTCTTATTTTCTAGTACAGGAAATTAGCAACCACATACGCAAGAAAATGAGATAAGAAAACTCAGATAAGATTGCAACATTTAAAGCATTTTTTTTTTAGTTTTTACAATAATGAAAAATGATTTTTGATCATATTTTCGGCGGTCGTGTGATAAAACACAGACAAAAAATATCACGTTTTAATCTAAAAAGTTATATAAACTCATATTAATGTTAGCTTACATTATTAGTACACTTACAGAATTAATAATATACTACTCTCACATCTCCAACCGTCCACAAAATAATGAATATGAACAGTTCGGCTCTAAACTTATACGGCCTGTGTCACATTGAGTTTAATTTTTTTTTTCAAACGCTGTGCTTTACAAGGTTTAATTTAGCCTTCATACGTTAACACAAAGAAACACATACACACCCACATACACAAACACACACTCACTATAAGTTTACCTAGCCAATCAAAAATATCACACTGTTCAATGTTAACAAAATATCTTAAATAAAGCTTGTTAGATTAAGAAATTAGTCTTGGGGAATATTTATTTAATATTTTGGCTTGTGGAGTCAACCACGCATACTATTTAGAAATCGTTTTCAAAAACCGATGTCATTCGACAATTAAAGTACGAGTCTCGTTTTTCCTTCAGGCGTTGACTGAATAGCTCACCCAGAGATATGATAATGGCGTAATCATAAATAAAATCATGGTGACATCTCACATTACCCCCCTGAGGTTTTAATTTAAAATATTCCCAATGAAAAGAGGGCGAATTAGAGGGAAAGATCTGGGAGGAAAATTAAAATCTAAAATGATTTCAACTGTCAATGGTCTTATTTGAAATTTAAAAAAAAAAACAGTAAAAAATATTGAACCTTGAAATAATTGATTAACAATTTAATAACACTGTGCGTTCAGGGATATAAAAAAAAAACAACAACTTATTACTAGGACAGTATCACACACAATGGAGGAAACGAATGCAAACACATCTACCGCTCTCCATGAGTGGGACTTTTTCGAGGTCTGCATCACCGACGGGATGTTGCAGACTTTCACACTGGTTAACTACGTCCTCCTCTGCGGCGTCGTCAGCGCCTTCGGCGTCCTGTTCAACCTCATCAACGTCATCATCTTCGTCAAGCTCGGCTTCTCCGACACGATCAACATCTCGCTGCTGAGCCTCGCGCTCGCCGACCTGGGGGTGGTCCTCGCGCTCGTGGGCTACAGCGTCACCTACAACCCTCTTTTCGTGGGAGCGGTGTCCGCCGTGGAGGTCAGTGACTCCGTCAGCTACATCGCCTTCGGGTGGCCCTACGCCTGCTTCAGCCGCATCGCCGGCTGCATGACGGCCGTGATCACGGTCGAGCGGTTCCTCTGCGTCTCCCTGCCGCTCAAAGTGAAATCGATCGTCACGGCCGGGAGAATAACCACCGTCGCCATCGGCGTGTCCGCTTTCATGTTCGCCAGCATCGTCCCCGCGTTCGTGGGTTCACGTTTGGGCGAGACGTTCAACCCTCGCCTCAACCGGACCTCCATCGGTCTCATCTTTTCGGAGAACGTCTACGACCTGGAGAACGCATCCCTGACCATCAACGTCGCGGTGCAGCTCGGCGTCTTCGTCGTCGTGGTGGTGTTCACGGTCGGGCTGATACAGACGTTCCTCCGCAATGCCGAGTGGAGGAGCGCCGCGTCGACGTCCTCGAAAAACACCGCGGCGACCAGGAGGGACAAGAAGCTGGTCAAGATGGTCATCGTGATATCGGTCGTGTTCATCGTGTTCTCCGTTCCCGGCGTGGTCGCCACGTTCCTCATGATGTTGGTCAAGGAATACAACATCGCCGGGCGCTACAGGAACTTTTACATCGCTACGTTTTCGGTGCTCTTCCCCATCGGTGCCATCAATTCCACCGTGAACATTTTCATATTTCTTGACCTGAGCTCCAAGTACAGGCGAGTCTTCGTGAGCATCTTAAAGCGTTACCCCAAAACTTGGAATCAGGACAGCTTATTGTTAACGAAACAAACGGAAATACGCAGATAAACAAGGACTGGGCCGTGACATTGTAGAGTTTAGTGTTAGGCAGCTAGGATTTCCGAACGGTGGCCTATATGTGGTCTGGGGCTCAATAGCTATACGAGTTCTGTATAGACAGGGTTTTAGTAGCTTAGAAGGTTGGGGGGGGGGTTGCATTATGACGTATTGCAGCGTGGTGAGCTGGAATGTGTCTTAGTAAAGTCTGGTGTATGCGAGAGTGCTGGGCCGTGCCATTTCATAGTCCGGTTTGTAATAGCTAAGAAGATATAGTCTAGTTTATAAAAGAACATAATAAAACCAACTTACTGAATACCAGCTAAACTCTTTAGCCTTTTTATTGCTTTTTTTAAAACTGGCAATCAATGCGATTAAACTGAGTACAGCCTTTGGAATGTCATAAACTTAAATTTATTTAAACTTTCAATTTTTAATTTATATGCTTAAATCAGTTATTTAAGATGTTTGTGTGCATTATTATCCTGACCGTTTGAATAGATCTTCTGTGACAGTTGTTTCACTCCCCCCCCCCCTCTTCTTTTATGTAAAACTTCACTTACGGTACATAGCATTAATTTATTTAAACTTTCAATTTTTAATTTATATGCTTAAATCAGTTATTTAAGATGTTTGTGTGCATTATTATCCTGACCGTTTGAATAGATCTTCTGTGACAGTTGTTTCACTCCCCCCCCCCCCTCTTCTTTTATGTAAAACTTCACTTACGGTACATAGCATTGGCCGGTGTTTGTGATAGTTTTAAAGCATTTTGGCATCTCTGAACTGAAAAGTCTATGCATAAGGATAATCCAAAAGAGACGAAATGGTGTACACAGATTATCCTCCCTCCCGCACCCCATCCCTTTTTATGTCTTACTCTCTATAGTTTGAAACTCTTCTTGTTACCTCTTTTACTCTACAACAGTGTGCCAACGTTTTCTATGCTCTGCACCCCATTACGAAGTATTGGGTCTTGTCTTGCGTCCCTACGAGTTATTTATGGCACTAGTCTTTCACCCTTACGAATAATTTAACTAGTCTTGCCCCTTTCCCTTTACGCCTTTAAAAAACAACAACAACTAAGCCTTGCCACCCTCTACAAAATTAAACGTGCATTTTAAATCTGAAAAAATGACGAACTTCTAATTTATTGATAGAATTACAAAGATAAACTCTAGAATTTAGAATACAAAATACTGACGTATTACGTAAAAGAAAACGTTATTGAAGAATTGAACCCCTTCCCACAAAAAAAACAACCACAACAACAACAACCAAAACAACAACAACTAAGCCTTGCCACCCTCTACAAAATTAAACGTGCATTTTAAATCTGAAAAAATAACGAACTTCTAATTTATTGATAGAATTACAAAGATAAACTCTAGAATTTAGAATACAAAATACTGACGTATTACGTAAAAGAAAACGTTATTGAAGAATTGAACCCCTTCCCACAAAAAAAACAACCACAACAACAACAACCAAAACAACAACAACTAAGCCTTGCCACCCTCTACAAAATTAAACGTGCATTTTAAATCTGAAAAAATAACGAACTTCTAATTTATTGATAGAATTACAAAGATAAACTCTAGAATTTAGAATACAAAATACTGACGTATTACGTAAAAGAAAACGTTATTGAAGAATTGAACCCCTTCCCACAAAAAAACAACCACAACAACAACAACCAAAAAAAACAACAACAACAACAACCAACAAACCACAACAACAACAACTAACAAACCACAACAACAACCAACAAACCACAACTTAATATTTCAATCCATAATGTGGAAGCTAAATTCTCCTCTGCTCCTAAACCTCCTCTCCACGCAGCCCATGTGCTGCCGTCTAGCGTCACGTTGGGAAAACCATCTGCTCTGAGGTGGCTGTAAACGCTTATGAAACAAAATCTTCGCCTGAGGACTGTGGTTGATTCTTCGTGATGCTTGAGCCGGAGCCCCAAAACTGTGCGCAATTATTCTGTTCTGTGCACATCTACATTAAAAACATTTTTTTTTTTTTTTTACATTTGCGCATTGCTGACCAATGGCAGCCATTATTTTTAAATCATTCATGTTAACTCCGCTTTTCTTCGTGTGTTTTTGGCAATATTTTTGGAAGGCTAATTGACCCACTTTCCGTCATCTTATCGAGCTGAAACTTGGCACATAGACTCGTTGCCCATGACAACAAAAAATGTGTTTGTGTGGTGGGGGAGGGTGTTAATGATTTGTTCAACTGGTGCGTGTTTTGGAGTGGAAATTACTCATTCAACTGTCACTATGTCCTTTGGAAATGCCACGTATTTTGCGTATGCTAAAGATATTTTTTCAAATTAGAAAATGAAGAAAATATGAAACGTGTTTTACCGATTTACATAACCGCTTCTTAATAAATGATACATTACGTACCATTACATAAATGCAAATAAAAATGCATAATATAAAGGATTTATACGAGTTTTTTAAAATTATATTTTTAAAACAAACATTTCAAAAACAAACAGTTGAACAAACATCTCATAATCATTTAAAAAAAAAAAAAACCATGTTCAGTTAAACAAACATGTCTCATGCTGCGTTAAACAAAAGAAAAATTCATGCCCCGCTAAACATATTTCAGTTCAAAATAAAACTTATATTAAGCTAAATTAATCGACCGATTATGAAAATTGTGCTACAGTTAAAATGAGATGAGATTACTGTAAGAAGAAGTCTAACATTCACCTTAAACAATTTATGTCTTCAATTGTGGATCTTGAAGATGGTTTTTTAATAAAGCCATTTTTAAAAAAAAAAAGGCCATGAATAAAATCTTCATTCCTCAGCGAAATTCGACTCTAAATTCGACTCTAAAATTCGACTTTAAAATTTGACTTTAAAATTGGACTATAAAATTCGACACTAATTTCGCTAAATAAAATTTCCCAAAACAGCGGCAAACGAAATTCTCTTTTTTTTTTCTTTTTTTTTAAATGCGTTTTGCGCGTGACATTTTCTTTTGCTTTTTTGCATATTTGATGAAGTAAAAAAAGGGGCAGAAGATGCGTGAAACGAAGACCTTGCAACAACAAGAACAAGACGGAAGGCCAAATAGAACCAAGAATCAAATATTCTCCCGTGAGAAATGCAGCCGAGATTATCATTCCAGGATTGGCCTAATGTGCCACTCGTAGAAGTGTATAACTGCACAGTTACCCCATCGTCTCACTAAGACAGAAGGATGCCATATATATACAAAAAAAAATAATATGTATTTAGGGATTCTTTAAATTTATATTTGTGTGCAAAGTTCGGCACTTGCGTTCAATTACATGCTGTCATTTCATGTTTAAAATGTATTACATTTTTTTAAAAATCTTTGGATAATATAAAACGCAAATGACGTTAAATATAAATATACGTAATATATATACGTAATNATATATATATATATATATATATATATATATATATATATGCATTTAATTAAATAAATGAATAAAATGTTGATACGTTTACTTTAATATGACTAGATTTAATACCCCATGGATTCCATATTTGTAAGAAATGAAAAATTTATAATTTTTAACAACAATTCTTGCAGATGCATGAAGGTGCTTAAAATGTATTGTCACTAAACAAAGGGAAACAACGAAAAAAGTGGGGGGGGGGGCAAATGAAGCATTGTATACTATTGTGTTGGAGCCTCCTGAGCTCTCACATTATATCTCTCATATAATATATATTTTGCTTCTGGTGTGTCCTGCTTCTTTTTCGGCACCACCCACCCCCCACCCCCAACAACTCCACGTTTTATATTATAGCACTGAGCAAAAAAAAAAAAAAGGATGTTAGGCGTGACGGGACATTGACACGTGAATAAAACACAAACGGGCAACGCAGCTGTTACGGTGACAAAAGGGGAAGCAAGTCACAAAATTTAAGGAGAAACTCAAAACAGCCGAATAACATCCCTTGCGAAAAGGAAAAGTTTTTATAAAATAAAGAAATAAACAACAAATAACAAAATTATACCAATTGTTCGTCACAAAAAAACAAACATGTTTATGATCGTAAAACGGAGTTAGTGAGTACTTACACTCTTGGAAGATCAAGGGACTGTTATTTTATGATTAATTGTCTCCAATAATTGTTAAGGATACATGTTTGGGGTAACACATGATAATAAAGCTGCATATTTAAGGTAACACATAATAATAATAAAGCTACATATTTAAGATAACACAGGATAATAAAGCGAAATATTTAAGGTAACGCATAATAATAATCAAGCTACATATTTAAGGTAACACATAATAATGAAGCTACATATTTAAGGTAACACCTTGTAATAAAGCTACATATTTTAGGTAACACATGATAATAATGCTATATATTTAAGGTAATACAAAATAATAAACCTACATATTTAAGGTAACAATTAATAATTATAAAGCTACATATTTAAGGTAGCACATGATAATAAAGCTACATATTTAAGTTAACACATAATAATGAAGCTACATATTTAAGGTAACACCTTGTAATAAAGCTACATATTTTAGGTAACACATGATAATAATGCTATATATTTAAGGTAATACAAAATAATAAACCTACATATTTAAGGTAACAATTAATAATTATAAAGCTACATATTTAAGGTAGCACATGATAATAAAGCTACATATTTAAGTTAACACATAATAATGAAGCTACATATTTAAGGTAACACCTTGTAATAAAGCTACATATTTTAGGTAACACATGATAATAATGCTATATATTTAAGGTAATACAAAATAATAAACCTACATATTTAAGGTAACAATTAATAATTATAAAGCTACATATTTAAGGTAGCACATGATAATAAAGCTACATATTTAAGTTAACACATAATAAGGATAAAGCTGCATATTTAAGGTAACACATAATAATGAAGCTACATATTTAATGTAACACATGATAATAAAGCTACCTATTTAAGGTAACACATGATAATAAAGCTACATATTTAAGGTAATACATGATAATAAAGCTACATATTTAAGGTAACACATGATAATAAAGCTACATATTTAAGGTAATACATGATAATAAAGCTACATTTTAAGGTAACACATAATAATA